CAGCGTGGGGGGCTCCTGCTGCAGCGCTGGCTTCAAACCCAACCTCTTGTTTCTGACTTTGTCTGGCAGGGCAGTTTTTGCTCAGTTTTGCTGACACTGTTATTTGTGGAGCCGTGCTGTAAACCAGCATACCAGTCCAGGTTAAAATAACTCTTTCAAAACAACTGTGATCTGAGTCCACAAACAGTTTTGTCAGCATAACTGAGGGCTAGCATGCTTTGTCCCAGGCCTAGGCACAAGAACGAGGGCAGAAAATGTAACTGCAGTTTATTGAGGATGAAAATACCACGCACATACGTAGAAACAAAATCAGAAAGGCAGGCAAAAGGTATACCTAACTGAAATTGGGCATTGCAGAAGTTACTTCTGCATTCTCAAATATCCCAGTAGCAGAGAAGTATCAGAGAATTTTTTTCTGCATACAGTGGAAAACAAAAACTCTCAACAGCTAATACTACTGTTGTAGTTTGGCAAGTTTTTTTTTTCTCTGGCAGCACTCTATTCTCATCAGGGGCTCACCCAAGGTTTTGCTAGCAAAGCTAGTGAAGCTGGTCGTGCAGTTAGATCAAGGATTTGAACCGAGTTAACTAATACCTCTTTTGGGGGAGGGACGAGTGCCATGGGGAGGTGCTGGAGTAACTTTATGGTGACAGTTCCCTAGTAGAGCTCCCTGTGTGGCATGAGTACAATTGGACCATCAATGGCGAGGAAGAAACAAGCGGGACATGGGGGAGGGGGAAGAAGAGGTCATTACTTAAGCTGGACCTACCACCAGACTAAACATTTGTTGAACTGCCTCCCTAGGAAGTCAAGATTTTAAATGTCTTTTTGCAGTTCTTGGGTTTAGTAAGGTTCTTGACATAGGCTTGCCTGACGTTTTTGTAAGCAAGCTGGGACAACTCGAAGCTGCATGTGCAACTGGTGAGAGAACAATATTGGGATAAAGGCTTGGTGTCAGACTGGGAGAATGTGCTGAGCAGGGCTTTTGAGTGAGGAGGGAGGAGGTCCATGTCTGATACTATTTGGTATTTTCAGTAATTTGATGTAAACAAGGGAATAGTGTGCATATTTATAAGCTTGCAGGTTAGTTGGCTGGGAGGAGGACAGGACTGGGACTCAGAACGTTTGGAGAAGCTGAGAAATACAGGACAAAACCAAAGAAAAATGCAGAGTTTCTACATTTTGGTACGTCTAGTCAGTGGCATGAATTGAGGATGGAGAATGGCTGGCTAGATAGCAGTTCTGCAGAAGAGGATTGGAGACCTTTCATGGTTTGTGAGCCAAGCACAAGTGAACATGTTATGCATTTTATGTACACAAAAAAGGCAAACCAGCTGGGACATATAACTAAGAAGTGTTATTTAATAATAATTTAGCTCTATAAAAGCTGATAAAGCCTAGGCTGGAATATGTATCCAGTTTTGGACACTATACTTCAAGAACAATGCAGATCAAATGGAAGGAGTCCAAAAAGAGAGTAAACAAGCAAAGGTCTGGGAAATGTTATCTATAAGGGAAGGTTGAAACAACTGGCTTTGGTCATTTTATATAGCAGAAGACTGTAGGAAGACCAAAGTTTTCAAATATATAAGGATAGATGCAAAGAGGAAGATAATAAATTGTTCTCTGTAATGATTGCAGGTAAGGCAAGGAATAATGAGTATAAATTGTAGGAAGGGAAATGTAAGTTAGACATTCAGAAAGGTTTTTGAATAGTAAGGACATCTATGCACTGGGATAATTTCTCTGCAATCATATTGCATTTTTTCATGAGAGATCTTCAAGAACAGGTTAGTCAAACTACAGTAAGGAATAGTTTAGTATATTCTATCCAGCCTGAGCAGTCGGAAAGGATTAGGTGGTTGGAGTTTCTTCGTCCTTATTTTCTGCGGTTATATCTGCTGCTTCAGGTACCAAGGGCTGTCGACATGAATCCTATGTCAGTGATAGAAGTGCTGGCCCATGCCTACGTGGTTACCACTGCTTCTACTCCACCAGCTAAGCAGCTCATTTGTGTACACCATCAGAATAAGCCCGAATAGCTGATATGGCTGAGAACAGTAGAGCTTTGTCAATATGGGTAATTTTGAGTGGAATGGATAAAGCAGCACTCGGGTGAGCAAGCCAGCAGGGTACGGAGGGCAGGAATAGTTTCGCAGGGATCAGTGCCAAGTGGCCAGGAAGGGCAGTGGTGGGAACTGGAAGAGGGGCATGTCTGCATTATGGGTCTCCTGTAGAGCTTATCCAGCACCTTACAGCCTCAGAGTTCTTCCTAGGATTTTTCTTTTTTTCCATTTGCTATAGTAAAGTTAACAGAGTTGCTCCACAGCTCTGGGGTATGTAGTCATTTCAAAGCCAGAAAAATGTGCAAGGCTTAGTTAACTTCAAATAGAATATGATTTTACAATAGACACCCTCTTCTGACATGTCAGCCCCATCCTAGATTGCTGAGGGAAGCAGTGAAGGATTGGTGCCCTCTTGACATTTTCAGAGGTCGAATATGAAATCCTCTGTCATGTTGCCAGCCCAGAGAGTTACAACCCAGTGCTCGTTTCCAGAGGACTAGTCATGAGAGACTGAAATTGTTCTTTACAAGATTCTTCCCGTAGCAGTTTTGCATTACTTACTATTTAATGTGTATGTGATTTGGGGGAGGGTTTTTCTTTTTTTTTACTTGGGGATTTTTTTCTTCTCGCTTTGTTCTTCCGTATGCAAGAGTTTTCTTGGACTACCTGTGAAATCAGCTGAAATCCTGCAGTTGACTTTCCTGACCATTTGCTATGGTCAGGGAAATGTCACTTAAAGTTCATGTGCTGCCTCTTACTGATGGCAGAGGTAGGCAGGAAGGGGAGAGTAAAGAATTACTGCCATGCCTGCACATTCCAGTGGAGAGAGCTTTTGAAGACTCAAGATGAGGCCTGCTTCGCTTGTCTCCAGGGTAGACTTTTATACCGATTTATACATTGCATGGTATCTTTGCCCAAGTGTACCTGAACTTTTATTTCACTTTTCTGTGACATGCATACAATGAAAGAAATGTGTGTTTAACTTCAAGCACGTGCATATTCACAAGCAGTTCATGCGGCTTGAAAAGAGTATTTCCCAATATTATTTGTTGCTTGGTCTTCATTGAAGTGTGGTGGTCAGACTGCCCAGGAGTTGATGTCTCAGCTAGCCAGTGAAGTTTTTTGTATTATTTTTGCAGTTATTGCAAAACCATATCTCTACCCTTACTTTGGTTTATCCCAAAGTGCAATCAGTGCACTCCCATTTCACAGCTTGCATAACTTTCTCTGGTGATTTCTCTCCATAACCAGATTGTATGAAACTATCTTTAATCTGAATGGGAACTGTTTGCCCATTCATTGTAAGGGTCTATATACTCATTTGCTATGGTTAGTTCTCAGTTATTGTTAATTTTTTCTACAAATTAGTCTTCATTCAGTTCTGTAGTCTGAATCCCATCTATGATGCCCAGAATTCCTGGCATATGGACTAAATTCTACTTTTTACCCCATTAGTGTGATCCTAGAGGGGCTCTTGTCTATATTTCGCAGGACATGTGTCTGTCTTAATACTTTGTGTTTGGCTACTCCATTTTATTCTGTAGGAAAGAGTTGAGAAGTCTACACGTTCATTAGAAGTAGTTTCTTGCATCGCATTTACTCAGGGGCTTTTATTTTTTAATAGCCTTTTGAGATTTCATTATGAAATTACATTTGAGAAATATTTAATCATTGGTCTTAAGTGAAAAATAATACGAGTAAACTATATTTCATAGGACCTAGAAGTAATACTTTGGAGTTAACTGTACAAGTTTAGATTTCTGTCTTCAAAGGACTTGCAACTTACCTTTAAAGCTGAAGTTTTTAAACTTTGCTGTTTAACTTGATGGTGATTTAGAAACTTCACCGGGCAGTTTTAAATATGAGTATTTCAGAAATATGAAAAGAAATTATTATGTTCCCTTCAGCTCATTCTGAATACAAGCCACAATGTGGTAGTTTTAAAAAACAAGCTGCTTGCAGATTTGGGAAAACCATGAGGAGCTAGTGACACTTACCGTTGCTGAGTTAAAACTAATGTCACCCTCTTTCTCCGGTTTTACTGTGGGACGTGAGCTTTGTGTGCTCCAGAGGAGCCAGGTGGAGTGAGAGATTCCTCCAGGGTTAGTACGGTCCTGGACAGCAGAGGATCAATTTCCTAAAACATGATCCATTTTGGCTCTGGTTTTATACTGGGTCCGAGGGGGCGAGGAGGTCTGTTATATGGAGAGCTGCTGTTAATTCCTCAAGTCTTGGTTTTCTGTCAACAGACAGATGTACTTTCCTGTCCGAGTGTTCCTGTTTTCACAATAGTTTCTCTTACATCGAGCAATATATATGTCCTGTGGACCTGCAGAATTTGTAACCAGCCCTCGTATGTACACTGAACACAGGTGCAGATTAAGGAAAGACTTGCAGTTTCCTTTGACATTAAAAGGTAGTAAAGAGGATTTACAGTTCATTAGGATCCTCCCCCATCCTCCCAACCAGTTCATGTACCTCTTCAGTGTTTCAGTGCCATTCCCTTACTTATGGGTCCTGGGTATTTTACTCCATGTTGAAGCTTGTAAAAGGCATTTGTTGGGGAGCTGTTTTTGACTCATGTTCTTGGACCCAACTTTGTGAACTGTGTCCAACTGTTCACAACTAGTTAGTTCAACTAGAAGTGTAGCACATATTACCTTCTCTAGTAGCCCACAAAAAGTCCAGGTCAGCTCCTGTAGCTCTTGTGCTGTCAAAGGGAGTATGTCAATTCGCATCACTTTATACCAGCTGGAGATCTGGTCCAGTGTGTTGAAAGATGCAGGAGGCAGTTGCTGTGGTGTATTTGTTAACTTAGTTGGCCTGAAGGGACGTGCAGTGAGAGAACTGCCATCATTCTAATTCATTCTCTAAATGTTTTTCTCTCAACAGCTCTGAAAAGTCCAGCTGCATTTCATGAACAAAGAAGGAGTTTGGAGCGGGCCAGGGTAAGATGCAATATGCTTTTTAAAGTTTTGGGGAAGTCAGGAGTAGTATGTCTTATGTTTTGGACATCCTGTAGCTGTTAATGAGATGCAGAAGGAAATTGTTCATATTCTGGATGTAATACAGCACTATGCAAAGATGCATTGGATGGGGTGTTCTTTAGCTCGTATGTGGTGGTGGTTAACCCTCAGTGAACTATATGGTACCTGGATTTCCCCTGGAGTCTTCTTTTGGAAGTGACTGATATTCTTCTTCCCCACTGTCCATATACTTTACATTTTTATTTTTATGGTGTCTGTTTTGCCCTTAAATGCTCCTATCGTGTGGATCTCAGTTCCACCTTTGAGGAAAGTGTATGGTTTCTCTGTTACCTGCAGGTGCACTTGTTTATCTAGGATATTAGAAACTGAAAATTTAGTGGAGAGGATCCCCCCCCCAATCTTATAACACTGAAATCACACAGACTTCTGGCTCTATAGAAAGAGGAAGCCAGGCATCACACTTCATGTGGCACCTCTGCTAACTGGGGGGTTTCTTGATGATTTCTGTTCCTCCAAAGGCCTCTGGGGGTATTTTTTTTTCTGATTAGCGTACAGGGGAATAAAACCTGTTATGACTGCTGGGCTAAGTTTTGTTTTAAAAGTGAAAGCAATGTAAGTAAAAAAATAACAGCTGTGATTAAAACCTGTAAGGGGGTGTTAGCACTTTAAACTCTGTGGAAGGATTGGAACAGCGGGCTTTGCATTAAGACCAGTGTCCCAAAGGCTTTTGCTTCTTCCTCCTCTTTTTTTTCTAAAACCTTCTTAATAAGTTAATATTTTGGTGTGGGCAATTGAGCAAGTATGGTGCAGTTTTCTGATTGACTTCAGTAGTTATTTGTTCTGAAGGCCTGTTCTGATGGCCAGTACTTACCAGTCTGTTACCCACTGCTCCCGGCTTCCCATCTGGCTGTGTAAAGGGTAACGTGCTCAGCCCGGACAGGATCATCTCTGTACGTTGCTCTATAGTGCATTCTCCAAAGACAGAGCTAAAAGCAGTCTGGAAATTAAATTAGTCTTGTCATAGCATTTAGATTCTGCCTGCCAAGGGAGTGCATGGGGTCTTTAGCTTAACAAGTAACATATCTTTAAACAAATAAAAGAGTATGCCCAAACCACAAGTCAGCCCTGAATGCCAGCAGTATATGAAAGTATTTGCTGTGAACAATGGAACTAGTGCATCTATCTTTAATGTAAAAAGAAATGTCTTGAATTTCACTCTGACACAAGTTAGTGGTGTTGCATAAAAGGAGAAAAGAGGGCTTCAGCTCTTGAGGAAGTCCTTTCCAGTTTCTGTTCTGTGGGGCAGCAGTGCACTCTTATACTGAGGCGACATACAGTAGAAGGTCATCTTTAGAATAAACTCATTCTCTGGGTGCTCTGGGACAGAAGATATGCCCCTTCTCTGTTCTGTGTTTATTTAGATCTCAGTAACAACTAAAGATGGTTGTTTCTTTTGTTTCTGCTGTCCAAGATTACCTCACTCCTGTATCCGATCAACTGAAATTGGTTCTTGCTTGTCTATTTTTGCTGCAGACAGAGGACTATCTGAAACGGAAAATCAGGTCCCGGCCAGAGAGATCAGAGCTGGTTAGGATGCACATTCTGGAAGGTATGGCACGTGCAAAACAGGAAAACATCAACAATAAACTGCATCATAATTACTTATTTAACAGCTTTCTATTTTGCCTCTGACCCCCAAATCTTTCTTTCAGTTGGGAGCGGGCAGAAAATCATGCCTGTTGCATGATTTCTTGGGAGGGATTCAACTCTGCTTGCATGGAGATTCTCAGAAGAATCTGTTATGTGAACTCAAAATTGTGCAGTTTTGTGTAGCTAGGCAACAATGAAATGGGATGACTGTGGATTGCTCTTCTACTAAGGGAATACACTGTAAAATATCCAAGAGGAAGTGAGGCAGATTTGATCTAATTAGTAAGCACCTCAGTCTCAGGGAGGGAGTACTATGCTACTGCTGAGTACCACATCTTTGGACACAACTGAAAGGGAAAAGATGAACGAGAATTGGGTGACATCAGTTTGAGAACAGTGAATTTGTCCTATTCTGGAGTCACAAGGGTAGTAGTTATCTTTATAACTTAAATATATATAATATCGATAATATCTTTATAGTGCGTAGTTATCTATTGTTATGTGCAATTATTTTTCTGTACAGTTATCTACAGTTACCTTTCTGAATAGAAGTAAAATACTGCTGAAGTGCATAGGTGGACCATTGCTGGATTGATGCCATTTTATTTACTTTCCCCTGAACAGAGACCTCAGCTGAACCCTCCTTGCAGGCTAAGCAGCTGAAGCTAAAGAGAGCCAGGCTGGCAGACGACCTCAATGAGAAGATAGCGCAGAGGCCAGGTCCCATGGAGCTGGTGGAGAAGAACATCTTACCTGTGGAATCAAGCCTGAAGGAAGCCATTATAGGTAAGGCCAGAGGAGGATCTGTGTTGAGGGCATTTCCCATAGGTGGCTGTGATTTCCTATCAATTCACCTGCCTGTGTCTAAGGGAGTGCAGTCCCATGGTTGGTCTTGTTTTCCTGTCTCAGAATCACAGCCTTTCAGCCCTGCGGATTCTGAAAAGCAGAACTCCTCCTGACCCAGATATATCTGTACAGATATAATGTACAGATACATTAAATTATAGGGAGTATGGACATCCCAGAATAATGTGAAAGCAGCTGCATACCCTGAAGACTTGAAAGACTGTTGAAGATTGCATCCTCTAGATTCTCTCCTTAAAAATCCCTCTCTCGGTATAACATGTCAGCAACCTTGGTCAGGGAGAGCCCACTGACTTGCATCAGGGAGAGGAGACAGAATATAAACAGGTGTGATGAAACAAAAGCTGTCTGTGAACTTAAAAACTTCAGAGGATTCAACCCCTTTAAAAATAAACCAGAACAGATGTAAATCATGCCAGTGCCATTCCAAGGGCTGAAAGGAATGCTGAGGAATAGCCTTCCCACTGTCTCAGCAGTGCTCTTTCCCATCTCCCCAGACTGAGCAGTCTGTGTGCGTCTGTGGTTATTCATCCCTTCAAACACGCACAGCTACTTTAAAGACAAATGGGACACAACTGTGAGCAAGATGGAATACTTTTAATGAAAAAGGAAAAGGACAGTGTTGTGGGAGAGCCTGCCTTCACTGTTGCACAACAAGTGGTTGAGGAAGAGAAAAAGTGAACTTGTGAACTGGATGTGGCTTCCTTCGACTTTGACATCTCTCTGGATTTCTGTTGCTTTTACGTTAGGTGCAAATGATAGTATTTTCCTGCTTACCAGGATTAATTTGAGATAATGTAATCTAAAAAACATTAGTGCATTACAAATGTACACTCAAGTGAATTTATCTACTGGACATGTAGATAGACAGAAATGCTAATAGCAGTCAGGGCCACCACTTAATCCATAGCCCTTGCTGCGTGTACGACTAGAGGACAATTTTGGATTCTGTTTTGAAGAGGGATTCTACCTTCCACCACATAGGATGAACACCAAAGAAACTATGACTCAACCTTACACTGTCTAACCTTCTTCTTTCTTGGTGCCAAATGATAATCAAATAAGCCATTGCACAGACCTGGGTTTGTGCAGAGTTAAGTAGCTCTTGTTATACTTCCTGATCTTTTCTGGCTAAGAAGCAAGGAAAATGGTTCACCCCAGTCTGCATCATTTTACTGGTAGCAGAGATGAATGTAAACACTTAAAACTGATCCAGTTTGGGCTCTGTTGTCTCATTTTTAGTTGGTGCTTTAAGCACAACTCAGACACAACTCTCTCCATGTCTTCATTATCTTTGTGAAACATCGAGTGTCAAGTGAAATAATTTCTTACTCCACTTTAAAGACCACAGTTGATGTTTGTGTTTGTAGTTGGACAGGTGAACTACCCAAAGGTTGCAGACAATTCCTCCTTTGATGAGGACAGCAGTGATGCCCTCTCCCCAGAACAGCCAGCCAGCCATGAGTCCCAGGGGTCTGTCCCATCGCCGATGGACTCCCGGATTTGTGAGCCTCTCCCTAGCACCACTGGCACATCACTAGCTCAGGTGAGAATGCGGTGGCCTACTACAGTGCCCTGGAGCTTCACAGGTGCTGCTGATTTGTGGCAGAGGATCCTAAAAAGTGAGACCGAGGGATCCTTAAAAGGTATAGTCTGTGAGATTTCACAAGGGGTCTTAGCTCTGCGTGGTGTTCGTGAAGTCCTCTGGTTATTCAGAAGACCCTGTAGTGGTGCCGTGTGGGGAAGCGGAGCAACCATTACTTGATACAGCCTGTGTTGGTGGGCAACTGATTCTGGCAGGCAAAGCTAGGAGATACAGGTGTGGGATTTTGATTCCTTTGATGCCCTAAGAAGTTGTGCTGCTTCTCAGGGACAACTGAAGCAGTGGGTTAAAGGAGTCTAATTAATGACTTGAAACCTGTGCTGCCTCCCTGTAAGTGGACACTTCCTGCACTCTCTTAAACTGTTTCCCTCCTCGTATGTGTATTCATTATGCCTTTTTCTGTCCCTGCAGGGTACATCCCAATTGCAGATTAGCGCAGACTCCAGTGAAACACTTTTCCTACCTGAACAGCCACCCCCGCCTCTGCCACCTCCACCTCTTCTGCCTCCTAGTCTTACCAATGGAGTGGCTCTTACTGCTGCCAAGCCCCCACCAACACTCATTAAGGTACTATTTTGGCTGATTTCTTCATTATTGTAGTCTGAAGGAAGATAAGATGGTTACCCTGAAGAAGGTTTTGAGTTGGAAGTACTGTGTTAACAGATGCAAAGGAAGGAAAGCTTATTTCTCACTAGCGTCTTCCTCTGACACTAGTTGTAACATATTTAATAGGTTTTTCTGTTCCATTATTCACCTTCTGTAAAATGGGTCCTGAATGCAAAATGTTTTGAAACAATCAGCATTATCCACAATTAGAGTCAGTGAGTCTGCACTGGATGAGCAAGTGATCTGGTGTGCTGGGAAAGATGACCTGCGTTATGGTGCAGTGTAAGCTGCTGTGGGTGCTGTGATTATTAGAGAAGCATGGAAAGACCCTGAGGTCAAATCTGGAGAATTTTGAAATGAAAATCCCAGTGTGCGTTCTGGTTTACATGGGGTGTTATGTTATTTCAGTGTTTCCATTCTTATTTGCTTCCTCCTTTTCTTCTAAATAGCAAAGCCAGCCCAAGTCTGCTAGTGAGAAGTCTCAGCGCAGTAAAAAAGCCAAGGAGTTGAAGCCGAAAGTCAAGAAGCTTAAATATCATCAGTATATTCCCCCGGACCAAAAGCAGGACAAGGGAGCTCCTCCCATGGATTCATCCTATGCCAAAATACTGCAGCAGCAGCAGCTCTTTCTCCAGCTTCAGATCCTCAACCAGCAGCAGCAGCAGCACTACAACTATCAGACCATCCTGCCAGCTCCACCAAAGTATGGGTCCTAAATGGCAGCTCTCTCTTAGGAAGCACTTGTTTCCCCAGTACTGTTATCGGAGACGTGTTCTGGGTGTGATGTGTAGCGGTTGGGTGTAATGCACTCAATCTCGTTAAGTAACAGCAGGCCGCAAAAAGGGCCGGTGTCAGATGAATCAGACAAAAGCAGCTGAAGTGAGTTGGTTGGTCGGGTAAGGGGCATGGATATAGTCAAAGGCACTGGTGTGCTTTCATGTCTAGGGTGGCACTAGTGACCCAGATGTTTCTGAACATATATGATTGTTGACACTGAGGGCCTCTGGTGCCTTTCCACCTTGGTTTTGATGCCTGTGTTTTTTCTTTCCCTGCAGGCCTCCAGGAGAGCAGCAGAGTGGTGCCAGTGCCCCTGCTGTACGCAATCTCTCTGCCACAGTCAGCAGCGCGTCTTCAGTATCCTCTGGTTCCAGTGGGCTGATGCGACAAAACAGTAATGCTGCAGTGGGCAAGCCTGGCCCTCTCCCTGCCAACCTAGATGAGATGAAGGTAAATGTCCTGTGAAGCTGCACAGCCCTTTTTTTGCCATTGTCAGTGGAGAGGGCAGTACTGAACAATGTTGCTGCCCCAGCGCAGGGCTGAGGTGGACTGACAGGAGTTAGTCAGCTGGTATTGCTACCCTGCAGCCTGTACCTGAGGTGCAGGTTTGTTGGCCTGCGGGAGGGTCAGTTTAGTCCTTTGCCCCATGGCTCTGGTAGCTGTTAATAGTTGTTCTGGTTAGAGTGTATGTTCTCTTAATGTTGCCTTCTTTTTTTCCCCATATCAGGTAGCAGAGCTGAAGCAAGAGCTGAAGTTGAGGGCCTTGCCTGTCTCGGGCACAAAGACGGACCTGATTGAGCGCCTCAGAGCTTACCAAGAGCAGAATGGTGCAGCCGGCCAAACAACCCCCACTCCCAAGCCCAGCACAGCAGCCATCCTCCCAAAAGCTGCCGAAGTGGTGGTAGCCTTCCCAGCTGCCAGGCTGAGCACAGGGCCAGCCCTGGTCACCACTGGCATTGCACCAGCAGAAGTAGTTGTGGCCACAGTCACCGGTGGTGGCATGATGAAGTTTGGCAGCACAGGCTCGACTCCTCCTGTTTCTCCAACTCCTTCTGAGCGCTCGCAAATGAGCACAGGGGACGAGAACTCGGCCACCGGAGACACCTTTGGAGAGATGGTGACTTCACCCCTGACCCAGCTCACCTTGCAGGCATCTCCAGTGCAGTTCCTGGTGAAGGAAGAAAGCTCCAAGTCTGCCTCCTGCAGCGTAAACGCGGCAGCCAGGTCGGAGCGGTGCAGCACTGGTAACAGCAGAGATGCAGAAGTTAGGGACAAAGACCAGATGCTGCAAGAGAAGGACAAGCAGATCGAGGAACTCACCCGCATGCTGAAGCAGAAGCAGCAGCTGGTTGAGATGCTTAGACTACAGCTAGAGCAGGAGAAGCGCTCTCAGCAGTCACTACCGGCCCCAGCGGCTGCGGGAGAAGGGACAGCCCTTGCCTCCAACCCAGTAGCATTTGGCACACAGGTCAAGAGTGAAAATGGTTTCCTGAGTTGCCAGTCTGCAAAGCAATCCAGCGGCCAAACAGACCAATTCAGCCCTGCACCAACCGCTAGCCAAATGGACACTTCGAATCCAAGTCCAGTGCCAAAGAAAGCCGTGATGGTGAAGCAGGAGGTGCCAGCCGCGGAAGCAGAGCCACCGTGCCAGTCCCACAGCCCGCGGCTTTTCCTTGGCCAGCAAGGGAGCGCCCTGAGCGACCTCATCAAGGGCACCCCTCCCCCTACCCTCATCACCGACTCCACAGGGACCCACATCGTCCTCACCGTGACCAAGCAGAGCGTCGAGAGGCAGGGCCTCTCGCCCCACGGGAAGGCAGGGAGTAGCTGCCCGGCCTTGCAGGTAGGCAAGGGTTAGATCACATCCTGGCTGCAGGCACTTGGGTTCCTCTCTCCCTCTTCCCGCTCCTGTGGTTCAGGTTACCATAGGATGATGTGGAAATTCAATGCAGTAAATACTAAAATGGCTGAGTTGCTTGCTACGATGGCTGGTAGTTCATGGCTTTGTAAAACAGAGCAGTGTAAGCAGATCTTCAGCAAAAAGACTGGAATTTGACAATGATGAACTGTGTACAGCAATGCACGATTAACTATGTGCATCATAGGCTGTTCAGCATTCTTCCAAACACATGGTTCTGCCTTTTGTCAGGCAGGATCTCGGGCTTGGAGGACGAGGGTTTGCTGCCACATTTCACTTCTTTTTGAAAGAACAACCATGCCTGTGATATTAAAAAAAGCAGGGTGTATTTCACCTCTTGTCCTTTATTAGAGAGATTGTAGTTGGAGTGATAGATAGGTCACCCTGCCTACCAAGAGCTGAAATCAGACCCTGGGAGCAGACTTTTTGCTTTTTGACTGCTCTTTGTTTTAATGCGTGTCAGTATTTCAGCGCTAACAGAGTCTTTCATCAGAGATGATCTACCATTCCCCTGTTGGTATGAGATCAGCACTTAACAGAAGTGTTCCGAGTGTTTCTTCCGGGAAGGTATAAATATGCCCAGGTTTTATGGCATAAGTCAAAGCCCAGCATCTTCTGTGGCATCAGAGAAGATTTTCATTCTCTGCTGCCACATTTCTTGCACCTTCTGCAGAGCAAGTGTCAGTGTCTACCATCAGGGGCAGGCACTGAGCAGGCTGCATTTGCTGCGTAGCAGGTGAGATGCGAATCAGCTGTCTAAATATCACTGTCTGGCATCACCCTTGATACCCCAGGGTATCTCACCTAAACCCCAGCCGCTGCTCCAGAAGGGCACAGGTCCTGTGTCAGGTCTGCCAGCCCTTGAAGGATGTCATGGGTAGCCCAGGGGTTTAGAGTGGTACTACCTCCTCTTTTAGGACTCTGAATCCCACCCCAATCTGATTTCTCTGCTTGGTGAAACAGAACAATTGACTGAATTTCCTAAAGAATGAAGAGTGGGGAAAAACAAACTTCATAAATCCTTTAAAAAACACAAGCCTTGCTCAATGTTGTGTCAGGAATAGCTTCTCATGGATACCCTTTTCTTTCCAGAGAGTACAATCATCACCCGCTAAAACTTCCAGCCAACCGCTGTGTCAGCTACCTGCAAGCACCCCTCAGCAGCCCACGCAGCAGCAGAAGCAGCAGCCCACGCAGCAGCAGAAGCAGCAGAAGCAGCAGCAGCAGCAGTCCAGAGGACTAAGCCAATCTGTCAGAAAGGTAGCTTGCTGCCTGGTCACTTTTCTTCCTTGTTTTTCTTTGCCTGCTGCCGGGGTTTGTGGCAGCGGTGGGAAGGGGACACACACATGCACAGTCCTGGTCAGAGACCATCATCACAGCAAGTGAGATCTCACAGCGGCTTCTGCCACAGCTTGCAGCTGCACGGAGTGTTTGGTTTTCAGCTTGAATTCTCCATTCCCCTGCCTCCGGCTGAACTAGCTGTGATGTTCAGCTGAACTGCTGAACTAGCTGAACTAGCCCATCGGGCATGAAGTTTCAGGAGCACTAAGTGTCCATGAGGTCTTCCCCTATGGGCACACTTGGAAGTGATGTGGAGGCTTTACAGCAAAGAGCTCTGGGCTAAACCCTGACAGTTTACTAGCTTCTGCCCTTTGTTTCCGCATCTGAGCAGAATGCCAGCTGGTGTTTTAAACAAGCATTGCCTATCAATTAAAAATGATGAGAGGCCAGAGTGGGCAGCCTTGGGTTCACAGTGGTGTCCCTGATTCTTGAAGGAGTGCTGCTGAACTGAAAAGGTGGCTACTGCATGGAGAGAGGATGGTGTGGGCAGTATGTCTGCAACTGAAGGTGGTGTACGAGCTCTGAGAGGGGCAAAAGGATCTGACCTTTTACTCTCTGGTACTGATGAACATGCTGTGATTTCCTTGGCAGCATCACACTATGATGTGCCTTGAGCATACCTGTTAATCATCTCTTTGTGAAGTGCAATGCAGATTCAGGAAAGAAAGCACCTCTGGCTTTATCCTTTCTCCAGGTGATGGCTGTAAAGAGGCTTTGCTGTGCATCTCCTCCCTTTCTAGCCCACATCAGGGATGACTTAGCTCTCTCTCTAACATGTAATTAAGATAAGATACAGAAAGATTATGAAGAGTTTTTAGAGCTTGGAGGATCACTGCTGAGTCAGATGCTGGAAAGGATATGAAGACAGGAGTCATTTCTAGTGTTTTCAGAGTGGGATATCCACTTTGCAAAGGGTCGGTGCTTTCATTTGCTTTGAGACCTTTGAGAAAATGCAGAAGGTAAATGAAGGCACCTTTTCCCTCAGACTCCTGTAGCTCGTGTGCTGTGGAGGCAGCTGTAGTGACTTTCCTAATCCTTTTGCCTCCCTGTAGGGTCAGAACCCAGGTCTGCAGGTGGTCATGGGGCAGCTGCCTCACACCATATTGTCTTTCTCAGCACCTCCAAACCTGCAGCCCTTCTTCCCCAACAGTTTCCAGAAATGGTCCCTGAAAATTGGTGGTCCTGGCAAAGCCAGCCCACCCAGTGTGTCAAAAAAGGTACCCTCCCAGCACATCCCAGTGGCCTGTGCCACAATGCCAGCTTCCAGCCCCTCTAAGGAAGAAAGTGGACCCCAGAGCAGCTCTGCTGGTGGGGGCCTGGGGTCACTCCTCTACCTGCAGGTCACAGAACAGACGAACAGCTTTCCAGGGAAAACAGGATGGGGAAGAACATCAACACGTACAAGTGTTGGAACTGGCATTCAGCTACTGCCCGGGGATGACTGCTCCAGGGGAGCAAGCTTTAGCGTGAATCACGCATAACTGCTGTAGAGGCAAAGACCTGATCCATGTTTTAGCCTTTCTTATGGGCAGTTGTGTGCTGATTCATCTGGTAAAGCTGAGTCATGAGCGCCACTTCCTGCAACACTTGGGGTTTCCTTTGGAGGTCTCTGGTGCTGCTGAGTGCTCTGGTGCTCTCCGCCCACCATCAGGCTGTGAAACTTGCTGCTAGTGAAGCTTGACTGTGTCCCCAAAGCAGGCACTCCAGAGGGAGATGGGTAAAAGATAGGTCCTGGATATATTGCACAGGGTAGGCTGAACACAGCAAAGGAAGCGCCCTCTCTCTCTCTCTCCAAAGTGTTAGAGGGAGCCCCCACTTGGGCAGATGAGGCTCTCCCCATCCAGGAGCAGCCTGGTGGCGGTTTGTGGCATGGTTGCTTTAGCGTTAGAAAAATCAGCAAAAGATTTCCAGCTATGAGTTGGAGGGGAAATCTGTCTTCCTCCCCTGCAGCCAGGCCATAGTGCAGAGAGTAACACGGAAGAAGCCAGGCTGCTGGGTGCAGACCTCTGTGCAGCACTTGCCAAGAGAGGGGATGATGGTCTCTCAAAGCGGCTGTGAGACAGGAGTTGATGCGGGCTTTCCCCTGATCGCTCCTCCTGCCTTTGTTCTAAACAGTCCTCATCACAGCCTGGCTCTCCTGCTGCCCCTTCCCCATCCCAGATGGACCTGGAGCAGCAACAGCACACGTCGCTTTTTGGAACTCCTCCACCTCCTCTCCCTGTTCCCTCGGTCCCAATGAAAGAGCCACCAGGCTATGAAGAGGCCATGAAGCAACAGCCAAAGGCCCAGGTGAGAGCAATTCTTCTCCCTGGTTTCCTTGGAGAGCAGGTGAAAAGTTGCCACTGTAAATCTGCTTAGATTCCTGATCTGGGCCAGTAACAGAGAATGGAGACACAATGTCCCTTTATAACTGCGCCTTCCTAGCTGAATTCCTTCTGGAGGGTTTGGGGCAGACCCTAAACCACAGGTAGAAATCCCCCAAGCCACTCACCGCTTGGTGAGTGTTAGCACAGCAGTTGCTGACTATACCTTCCCATCCAGTAACAGCCTGGGGTTACGGAGGATTCTGGTGCCATGCCTCTGTGTGCTCATTCTCGCTAGATAACAGCCCCATCCCTGGGGCGAGGGAGGAGAGCCAGCAGCCAAGGGTGTTGTTGGAGGTGGAAGCTCCCCTGGTAAGTAGGAAGCTAATCCTGCGCTTGCTCTCCCCAGGAGAACGGCTGTTCCAGCCAGCAGATGGATGACCTGTTTGACATTCTCATCGAAAGTGGAGGTAAGGAGACGAAGCCAGCATTTCCCATAGTCTTTAGGTTTGAGCCTGGGGATAAGAAGAGCACTGAGGGGAGAGTCTGTCATGGCCCAGGTCTTTGCTCCTGCTCCCTGCCAGTGCCTTTAGCGTAGGCAGTAGTCATTAAGGCACTAAGGGAGATGTCAGTCAGGCATTAGTATGATACAAAGCTGCTTGGTGGCTCTGCTGCATCAGATCTGGGCACACCTCTTCTGTGATACTGGACAGAGCTTGAATTCCCCAGAGGTGGGCTGAAAACTCCCCATAGCAAGTCATGTGCGGGCACAGGATGAGCTTCCTTATCCCAGTTGGTGGTCAGAGATGGCTCAGTCTGGGGGGTCCCTGTTGCCCTGGTGGGTGGGAGGGATCCTTCCGGTGTTGAGCCAAGCTTTTCCTCACCCTGGTCTTCCCATTTGTTTCCTGGACAGAGATTTCGGCTGACTTCAAGGATCAGTCGTCCCCAGCTGGGAAGGAACCACCCGTGGCCCCAGCCTGCTCCTCACCGCCCAGCAGCCACCATTCCTCAGAGCTGGCGGTGCCAGTGTCCTTGGGGCAGCCGGTGCCCGTGGGCCGGCTGGAGGACTTCCTGGAGAGCAGCACCGGCCTCCCGCTGCTGACGGCAGGCCACGATGGGCCGGAGCCCCTGTCCCTGATTGATGACCTCCACAGTGAGATGCTGAGCAGCTCGGCCATCCTGGACCACCCGCCTTCACCTATGGACACCTCGGAATTGCACTTTGCTCACGAGCCGTCCGGGGGCATAGCCCTGGATCTGGCTGAGGCTGTGTCAGCGGTACGCAGACTTCTCAAAAACCATGAATGGACTCAGATACCAACAGAGGTCTTTCTACCTACCTGGAAAAAACTGAGCTCAGCTCTGTTGCAGACACCTACAGAAGAAGGGGCCAGTGCAGCTCTCAGAGCACTGACGTAACACAGGCCTGCTGGGAAGCTTGTGAACCACTTAGCTCTCATCATCATTAATTTAAAAAGTGCAAAAAAACAAATTAGGGAAAAAAGGAAAAAAAAAAAAAAACAGTGCAAGAAAAAAGATACAACTTTATTCATTTTCCACAAAGGGGACCCTTAAAATATGCAAGTTGTCAGAAAAAACAATCTAGGTTAGAATCATAAAAGTTAGTAAAAAAAAAAAAAAAAAAAAAAAAAAAAAAAAAAAAAAAAAAAATCGGGTGAGAACAGAGCCGGCAGCCCCTCTTCCTCCAGGCAGGAGCGAGCAGCGATGGCAGTACATGGGGCACAGTGCTGCCAGGCACAAGTTCCCTCACGCCTTGCAGCGGGACATAGCATGACTGGGCCCGAGGCTGTTTCCAGAAGCAGCACCCCGTGCCTTGCTGGGGTTGGCAAATAAAGGGAGCTGTGCTGCCCTGGCACGGTCGGTTTAACGGTTGCAGAGGGGGATTCTACCTCTGGAGCAGGATGCAAAGGCGGGAGTGCTGGCTGGGAGCCCGGAAGGGCTGTCCTCTGCACCACCTGCCATCTGTCAGGGGAGGGTCTGGTCTGCTGCAGGGCTGGGAGGAGCTGGGCAGAACAGGCACCTTTTCCAAGTGTAGCCAAAGGGAACCAGGGTTCCCCACCAACCTGGTAACGTCTAAGCTGGTTTCCCAAATATTGCTGAGCTTGGCAGAGGCCTGCCTGCTTGCTTCACTCACTTTGGGCTGCAAAACAGATTTTTTAAGGTGCTAAAATCCAGGTCCTTATATGTTAAATCTGTCCTTCGCTGCCCCAGACCTCTGGCTGTGCCTGGAGTCTAGCCTTCAGGCACACCCCGCCTTCCCCCCAGCTTCCACAGCACTTGTGACATCCCCAGGTGTGCAAGGCAGTCAGCCTGTGGGGGGGGGTTAGTGACAAGAAAGCGGCCACGTATCCTGGGGAGTGCGTGAGGGGCACAGCTAGCAATGAGCAACATATCATGAGGGGCCATGTGCAATCTGTCTCCTGCCTTCAGCTGTGCTGTTGCCTCCCTGTAGCCAGGTGCCCCAGTGGAAAGAAGCAGCTGAGGATGTTGGACCCAACAGGCAAGGAAGGGGAAGTGGCACTGCAAACCAGGCGTTGCGTGGCACAACGCAGGCCCTAGCTCAGTAGTCCGACTGTGAGGGCCCCTTTCTGGGGAGAAGTGGGAGCCCGAAAGCAAGCAATGGGCAGCTGACCGCTGCTCTTCCTTCCCTCCAGGCCCACGGGGTAAAAGGCAAAAGCAAATGGCTGCTTACTGTTAGCTGCCGCCCTGTGTCCGGCCAGCTTCTGCCAGGCAGGGGCCCGGGCAGATGAGTACCCCAAGCCCCCTGAGCCATGACGATGCTATTCCTCGTGCAGGCTTCTGCGTTGGAAACCCAGGCCTGTGGCTCTCTCGTGGGCTGTTGCTCCTGTCACTTTTCAGTGTCTGTGTTTGTTAGTAGTAAATCATGGCTGTATTTACCAGGTGAGACACAGCCCAGCTGTGCCCCATGCAGTGGCCTTGCGGCACAGCTGTCCCTGCTTTGGCCCTGAGCTGGGTCTGGGCTGCTAGGGCTGAGGGAGGCGCGGGAGGCAGTGGCTTTTGAAATCGTACGGACTAAGGTGCTGACCCTGCTCAGGCAGTGTGTCCTCCTTCCTTTCAGTATCTCCTTGAGGATGCTCTCCCCACCTTTCCCCTGCACCGGGCTGCAGTGCTGCCTGCTGGGGAGGGGTAGGTGCGGATGGGCACATGCTGCTCCCCTGCCCCTTTGGTACCTGGCGCTCTTCTCTCGCAGGGGGAGGCCTTGCTGCAAGGGTGCGGGTACCTCTGCTCCATGGCGGGGCAGGTGAATGCCAGCCCTGCATGACATGCTCTCTGTCAGCCACTAAACTGGCAGCCAGGCGGAGTCATGCCTGTTTTACAGCTGGGAGAAACTCCTGCTTTCCTGAGCCCTATTTGCTTGTTAACTGTGTGGGGAGCCACTCTTAATCATTTGCAGGGGGAGCCTGCTGGCAGCTTCCTTCCTTTCTGCCCTCTTCTCTCCCCTCTCCCACCCCTCCATTGTAAGCAAGTCAGAGCCTCTTAATCTGCCTCCCTCAGTGTCCGGGTTGGAGTGTGAGGATACCCCCTTCCCCCCCGCCCTGCCTGCTTTCTGTTGCCCAAGCCACAGTGTCATGTCCTAAAAATCAGAGTAACTGGGACTGGTGGACACCCCCCCGTAACCCCGCTGAGCCCTCCCCTCGTTTCTCTCCTGGTGCATCCCTGGGAGCAGTGAGTGCATTAGCAGTGGCCTTACAGAGCTCCCACCAGCTCCACCCAGGGCAGCTGCCCAGCCGTGGGACCAGGTGGGCACAGGAGGCAAGTGGTTTCTTAGGAGGAAAGTATGCAGGGGGGTGGGATGACCTTTCAAATGCCAAGGGGAAAACGTGAGGCTGCCCGTTTGTTAAACTTCTTAAGCAAAATCAACTTCTTTTAGCCCACAGTGAGCAGTAGCCCCCACAAAAACCAGCTGTGTGATTTCTTTTGTACAAATAATTACAAAGCTGCAACCAGTAAATAATGAAATTATCGAAGTGCAGTGAGCTCCTAGAAGAAGGTGGCGGCGCTCCACGTGCAGTCCTGGCCTGACCCAGCCATGGTTCCTCATGTTGGGCCAGGCACTTTGTTGGCAGAGAGATGCCAATGCCCGTTACTGATTTAAATAATCCCCAGGGTTGCTGGTAAAAGGCCGAGCTCACAGCTGCCCCCCTTTCGCCTTTACTCATCCACCATAATTTGTGATACTTTGTAGGAATTTAATTACCCTAACTTTGCCCAACCTACTTGAAATTGGCTGATGGGCTTAAGAGCCCCCAGGGACCCCAGACAATACAGAACCATGAACCTCACCTCCTGAGGAACCCAGCTAACGTGCCAGAGCCCCTCTGCACAAGGGGCTTCTGCCGGGAGAGCGAGCGATAACCCTGTGCCTGGGGGCAGGGGGGAGGATGGTGCCTCATCCCAGGAAATACTAGAACATCTTTTCCCCAAGCAGGGCCCAGAGCAGGCTAGCCCAGTTCTCTGCTTTCTTACTATTATTTGTTTGAATAATAGTTCAATAGTTCTTTGTCAGAAGAGGTATTCCCCTGGACATACATTTTTGCACCCTTGGGAAAAACAAAGTCTGATGTTCTGCCTCTACCTTGAATGTAATACTGAATCTTTCTGCTGTAACCACTACTTGTTTGTAATGTGTATTTGACTAGCACGCACTCTCCCTTCCACTATGCAGCAAACGGCGAGGGGTGATCAGCACCGTCTGAGACGGATGGTGTTGGGGCATCGGATCCAGAGCGAGTATTCAACTGGAAAAGGATAAAAAAGTGACAAGTTAACAGGGGAGAGAATGGATCTTTAAATTGAATTATTTTTTCAGTTACAAATATTTGAAAAAAATCCATTTTATTAAAAAAATTCCAAACAGCCACGTGCTCAAAAACGTCTCTGCTATGCTGGTGGGAGGGCTTGGGGCCACTCTGCCTTTTCCAGCTAAGGGTGGGTGATCCCTCTGGGTCTTTCTCAAACCTGAAAAAAAAAAAGCCTGCGTGGTGGTGCCTCATCCCTTCTCAGCTGAAGGGAGATTCCCTCTGTGTATGGAAATTACCTACCCTGCAACCAGAAGTAGGTCTTATGGTAGGAGAAGCACAGGCAGCTTTTACAGCCTCCCACAGCCCAGTAGGCTGGTCTGGACCCCAGCTGTTACAGTGGTGAGGTGATACTGCAGCCTTCCTCAGCCAGATGCCAAACTGGAATTACTTTGACTGAAAACACTGATTTTCACATCAGTAAATACGCCACAACTTTCACCCTCCCATGAGCGTGGGCTTTTGAACACAGTGCTCCCAGGGTCCGTGCCCTGTTACTGTCCCGTCTTTGCAGAAGAGACTCCACCTGTTTTTTTCTGGAGAAGCTTGTTAATGTGCAGACAACACTGTTGTCCAGCACCACCCAGCCCCGTTTTCTGCCAGCCCCTCTCCCTTTGCTAAGGGCCTTCCCCTTGCAGGGTCCCCGCATCCCTTCATTTCAAGTATTTCTTGCTCGTCAGGGCCTGCTGGGGCTCTGCTGCAGAGCTGTGCCTCGGGGAGGGCTGGCAGCAGAGAGGCAGGGCAGGGCTGCCACTGCTGGCAGCACAACTGCTCCTGCCCCGGCCGCAACCTGGGCCTGTGGGCTGGTCTGAGGCAAGGTCAGTGTGAGAACCCCCCCACCGTGCCGGCGCAGGTTGAGCAGAGACCTCAGCCTGATGCTAGCAGGAGCCAGCACAGAAATGGGGTCATAATTATCAATTGGCAGAAATTAAGAATTAAATCTAGTCCCGGCCCTGTCAAAAAACAAAGCCAAAGCCCAGCACTCTCCCAAGATGCAGTTTATTTACAAACCCACCGAATAAAGGAAAGTAAGAATCTAGTGTCATTTCACGAGTAGTTTGTGCTCACAGACAAGCGCTTTCAGTAGAAAGTCACAGACTCCGTATCCGGAGCCACCACCACAAAGCAGCAATTCTCCACTCCTGACCTGCGTCCCCACTGCCACCGCAGGGCGAGGAGGACCAGTTAGTCTCCCTGAGCCAGCTCCAACCTGAACCTCGTCCTGAGCTACAACGGTGCCAAAATATACATGTTCCTGGAGTTAATTTACAGCTTTTTGGTTAACAGTAAAAATCATCTACAGACTAAAATGACAGCATGAAACACTCTTATTTAGGGGAGAGGTGTTTTTTGTCTGCTCCCAGAGGAGACAAGGCCCATCCCCAAAGGCTGTTACAGTGGTGACAGGCCGATGCAGTCAGGCACCTCTTGTCAACACCCCACACACCAGTGCCAGGGAGGTGGGATGAGGCTGATGCCGGTTCCCCCTTCTCAGCCCCAGCTCCAGGTCAGAGGAACTTGTCCAAGTGCTTCAGGGTTTGCCATCCCTCTCCCCAATGGAGGCAAGCCCTTGGCTGG